AGTTGTGATAAATAGTGAATGATGGCCGGGTACCATATCTCTCTACCCTGAGGGTTCATTGGTTTGGCAGTCTACTCAGATATTGACACTTATTCACCTAGATTTAACGCCAATCCACATTGGTTTGAAATATAGCAAAGGGAGGTTAATTGTGGAATTAGACATGTTGTAAGTCGTATCATTCTGTTGAAGGGTATGCATCCAAATCTATTATCACTTGTGCGTGCCTAGTAAAAGTATCAAAAAAAAAAAAAAAAAAAAAAATTTATTTCGACTATTTCGACCATTTCGAATATCTGAAATGATCCATTTCGACTTCATATATAGTTGTTTGGTTTCTTATTAATTATATTATTTTTATATTTGAATATAAATATTGTTGAACTAGTAAAACTAAAAAATTTTTTTTTTAGAAGTCAGATCAGGTCAGATCAGGTCAAATGTATATTTAATTTAGATTAATTTTATGTCTAATCTGACTTGACCTTATCAGATTGAGTCAAGTCAATTACTTGATCTAACTCTACCTATTTGAAACTCTACTTACAATTTAAAATAATTGTTAAAATCATTAAAATAGAATCAAATTTTTTATTATATCTAAAACTTCTATTAGATTATAATACTAAAAACTACAGATATAACCTTTAGGATTATTAGCATAAAACATATAATTTACTTTATCTCATGACTTAATTTTACTGGTAACGTTTCTATATACTATTGCTATTATAAGGCTTATTACAAAATTAATGTATAATTTAAAAACAAGCATTTAAAAAATAAATCTTAAATTCAAATATATATGTATATAAATAATATTTATTTATTTATATTTGTTTACACATTTCTTAATTGTCTGATAAAAAGCTATAATCAAGAAAGTCCAATCATTAACACCATTCTTAATTGGTATTAAGCTATTAGAAGAATCTTTTTTTCTTTAAACTTACTATCTCTATCTTTGTTTCTATCTCTAAACTAAAGATGGGAATTGTAATTAATATGTTGCAACTTTTAATGTTACAACTTACATTGCAATTAGTTTTAACCTATATATATTGTAACTAATTTTAGCTTATGTTGCAACATTTTGTAAATTTGAAATCAATTGCTGTACTATCTTTACTCTAAACAAAAGGTGAGCAAAGTATAGCAATAGTTTCTCTCTTATCTGACAATTTTGAATTTTGAAAAACCTGTAACGGGTTTAATGTTTAAATACTTTTTAATGGTTTTTTTTTTTAACTATTAAAAAATTCATGTTTATTAACAGATCTCATCAGCCAATTAAATTCCTCAACGCTTAAATTGATTTGATTGGCCAAAACTTCATATAAAACAGATTGTTTTAAACACCTTTTTTTAATTTATATTCCTTTCTCTCGTATTTTGTTTTCACCATGTCATCACTTCGAAATGCATTACAACGAAGAAATCATAAAGAACGTGCTCAACCACGTTTTCGACAAAAATATGGTTTACTCGAAAAACGTAAAGATTATGTTCTTCGAGCTAGAGATTACCATTCGAAACAAGACCGGTTAAAAGCCATGCGTGAAAAAGCTTATTTTAGAAATCCCGATGAATTTTATTTTAAAATGATTAATTCAAAAACCAAGGTATATTTTAGACACGAATATTTAAACCTGTTTTATTTTATAGGATTGAAAGCTTTAATACTTTTGTAGGATGGAGTTCATGTGTTGGAACATGATTCAGCTTTATCTGGAGAAGCTATTAAATTAATGAAATCACAGGATTTGAGTTATGTTAAAACTCAACGCGATCTTGGCAATAAGGTTTGCTTTAGAATGTAACTTTTAAGTTTCTTTGTTAAGGACATGATATTTAAATTTTTTTTTTAAAATAAAAAGAAAATAGAAAAGATACAAAGTGAATTACATTTTATTGAACCAGAATCCATTGAAGATAAGATAGAACTTGAAGAGAAAATAAAGGAGAAAGTAAAATCACAACCACAACACATCATATTTGTTGATACTCCTAAAGAAGGTAAACGAGCTATTTTTTTTTAAAAAAAAGGTCCACTTTCCTAAGACAACGTAATTAATAATAAAATTTCCACTGATATAGCCAAAACCTTTGATCCGGCAAAGCATTTTAATACTTTACCGGAATTAGTTAATAGAAAGTTTAATAGGCCTCGTATTGAGACATTACAAAATGAGATTATAATGTTTCCGGAAGATGAGACAGAATTAATTAGATTACATAAGCAAAAATTAATAAAATATAAGGAATTATCAGCGCGTATGCAAAGACAAGAAGAGTTAAGAAAGGTAGAACGAGAATTACAAATTCAAAAAAATTTAATGGGTAAAGGACGTAGAAAGAAAGTTGGTGTAGATAAAGACGGATTGGCGGTATATAAATGGAAGAACGAAAGAAAGAAATAAAACCAATGTTAATAAATTCAAAGAAGAATGTTGTCATTTTAACTTCCACGATAAGTTGTATAAGAGAAAGGACTGATCAGCAAAGGAACATGATAATGTTGATTAGAATCAGTTATCTCGAAAATAACCTGCAAAAATTATGAAAAAAATTAAGTTTTTAAAAAATTAAAGCAAATTCAAATGTAATATTAAAAATACCTGAACGTAAGGATAAAATGATTTTTGGTCTAATTTATTGAAGTATTTTGATGTATAAAAAGTAATGCGATAAGTCGCTTTTGAATTGTTCTTCAGAGCGATTTTATAATCTTCCGGGACTAGGTTTGGACATCTTCCATCCTCATTCGTATATCTTATATAAATGAGCGCGAATTAAATGAAAGAGTAAATAAATAAACTCATTATGATAAAAAAAGGCTTAAGTTTACGATTGTCCAACGACATTCCAAGTTTCTGTTCCATTTTCATCGAAATCTTCAGAAGAGGTTTCCCTAACTTCTAATTTTACTTGAATATTCATGCCCGGCATTCCACGTGAAGAGTCAAGAACGTGACAAGTTATAGGGCCACGAGAAGTTGACATTTGTACGTCTTTATTAAGAGAATATTTTAATTATCGCAAGAAAAATAATGATTTTTATTGATAAGATAATACGTAATGATTTCGGTAATATATATTTTGATTATCAAAATTATTGTAATACAGATCAAACATTGTCTTAATTTTTAACATAAATATGACTTTTCGTAAGCTTAAAGAAATAATATTCATTGGAACAGGTATGCTTATTACTTAAACATAACATTTTTAAAAAAAAAATTAAAAAAGAACGTGTTTGTAGGAACTTCTTCGGGCGTGCCTACTGTCGCTTGTCTAACTGATCCCCAAAAAAGTTGTAAAACTTGTATGTCGACTTTAACATCAGAAGGAGAAGTTAATGTTAGAAGAAATACAAGTTTATTGGTTAGAGTTAATCATGAAGATGGTAGAGTTAGGTAAAGTTAGAACTTTAGGGGAGGTTTTTTTTTTTGTCATATTTGTAAGTTTAATTGATTGATTTTAAATCGTTTAATTCAATACCGTTTGATATGCTTATTGATCATTTTCGTATCTTTAACAGGAATATCGTAATCGATTGTGGCAAGACATTTTATGGTAAAAAATAATTTTCATCTTGTTGTGATGTTCCAAAAAGGTGACTTGATTAAAAAAAATTTTTTTCCTTTAGTATCTGCATTAAAATGGTGGCCATATCATGAGTTACGTAATTTAGATGCATTGATATTGACACATCCGCATGCGGATGCAATTAACGGATTAGATGATTTAAGAGCTTGGACATTACATAATGTTATACAAGAAAGTATCCCAGTTTATTTAACTAGTAGTACTTTTGAATCTGTTCAGAATCTTTTTCCTTACCTTGTTGATTCAAAACAAGCATCTGGTTTGTATAATTTTAACATTAAACTAGTCTCCTTTTATTTGAATTTCAAATTTTTTTTCTCATTATCGTAATTATATTTTCAGGTGGAGGTGATTTACCCTCTTTTCAATGGAATATGATTGATATAAATCATTCATTCAACGTCGAAGGATTAGAATTCACTCCTCTACCAGGTAAATGGAATCATTAATAATATCTTCAGAAGTTTTAATCCTTTACTACAAATATTACTTTAATCTAATATTCTTTATTTTTATTTTTATTTTTTTTTTTAGCTCATCACGGCAAATACTTTACTACAGATGAACCATACATTTATGTTGGTTATAGATTTGAAAATATTTCGTATATTTCGGATTGTAATTTTATACCAGATGATACATTAATTAAAATGCAAGGAAGTGATATAATGATATTAGATGCATTAGATTGTTGGTATTTTTTATAATTATCTTTACATGATTTACTTCTTTTGATTTTTTGACTAAACCAGTTGGTCTTTAATTGTAGATAAAGAACATCCATCACATTTTTCAATATATCAAGCAATAAATATTTCAAGGAATTCAAATCCGGTACCAAAACGAACATACCTTGTAGGATTTTCTCACAGTGTGAACCATTCTGAGTTAGTTAAAGAAATGGAGAAATTACAATTAAATGAACCTTTATTATGGGTTAGGCCCGCTCATGATGGATTAAAAGTTGTAGTTGATAACATAAATGAAGAACAATGAGAGAACATCTTTGGTTAGACTCCAATTGCTTTTTGGAAATTGTTATTTAATTACATTATTCTTTACATACTGTATAATTATAATTATTTAATAAAAAGAAAAGAAAACTAGACTGGAAAACATCTATCTATAGATCAAAAAATATTTCATTTTAGAGATTAAAACGCGTTTTACGTCATATTGCTGCAACAATTATTAACTGAATTTGATGTGAAGAAACCCTTACAAATTTACTGAATTAATTCACTGTTACACGCGAAATTCATCGTGTAACCCTCCCTACTAACATGACCCCAAAAATATGGGGTCAGCCGATAAGAAAAGAGATTACCTAAACATCTCGTTTTTTGGATCATTTGTTTTGAAATTTATTTTTCTCTGTTGAACAGGATTCCATATCGTATTTTGTCTTGTTAATCCTTGTATACTTGTACATAATAGTGGACAGCATTTACAGATTTCGCCTTTAGTGTTGCCTGAACTATTATTAAATCGAAAAAAAAACAATGGATCTACAAGATGATGAAATACAAGAAAAACCTATAAAAGAAAAAGAAGTAGCGAAAGAAGAGGTAGCAAAACAAGAAGAATCCCCTCTTCCTCCCGACTTTTTTGATGATTCCTCATTAAATAATTCTTCTACAAAAGTTTCTACTACCATGGAAATTGATGAACAAGAATGGATCAATTTTCAAAAAGAAATTTCAAAAGAAACTCAAGTGAGTAACCAAATTGCAAATGCTGATGACGAAGAATTACAAAGGGATAGAGATGAAATGCAAGAACGGGAGCAAGAATTTTGTTTAGCAAGATTAGAAAAATTAAAAGAGGTTGCCAAACGTGTGAAAGAGATTCGTGATAATAGTATGAAAAGCGAAAAGAAAGTAATCGATGATGATGAGAATGTTGAAAATACAGATGATGAGATTTTTGATGATGATTTCGTAGATGAGTGGATGGATTGGAGAGCACAAAAAATTTTGTAATAAACTAACCCATACTTTTTTCAAAAAACTTTTTATTAAAAAATAATAATAATACGATTAAATAATAAAAGGCTGATAAAAATAAAAATAAATTTTTTTTTTTTGACTCCTAAATAAAAAATTATAACATAAATAATTAAAAACAAAAAAAATTTTGATTTTTAATATACATAATAATAAAAAAATTAAAATATAAAGAAATTCCAAAATTTCAAAATCTTTATAATCTTGATTTCAAGAAGAAATTAATAAAAAACGAAAGGACGTAATATTATTATGTTTAAGGTATTGGTATATTACGTTTAATATTAAGGGATATTTTTTATTCCATTAACCATTAAATAACCTTTATAATCTTTAACGTTCCAATTATCCTTGACCAAAAATTTATTGATCGCTGAAGGCAACTTTGCCACTCCATTAGGTGAATGTTTTCCCAATCCCGTAATTATCTTCAATGGTTTCAACGATGTACGGCCTTTGTAGATAATAAATGGTAAGTTAATATTATATATCAACTAAAGAGATTAAAAACTTTTTCATTTATTAATTTAAGTATTTACCAGATTCAGAGTACCATTGATTCAACTTTTCCTTAACAATAGTGAGTGCCTCATTTACACTACAACCATGGAGATCAAGAACATTCTCCTCCCTTCTTTTCTCACTTTCAACACCATAAGAGAGAGAGAGGAAAGCAAGAAATAGCAACAACAATGATAAAATAAGAAAAATTGGATAGATAAAATATTTTCCTATCCAAAAGGAATATTTTATATACTGGATTTATTTCTACCCAATGTCCAGCAACAAATAAACCTTATGAATGAAAAAAGATTTAAATATCTAAGTTTTTATGTAATCATTCACTTACCTATTTAATCTAACTAAAGATCTGGCAGCTCTCAAATTCCATTTCTTCATTTCTGTATCAAATTTCCTTCCCTATCAAAAAAAAATAAAACAAAATAAAAAAAATGATCCCGAGATTATCTTCTTATTGAACTTATTCACAAAACCTTTTACCTCGGTTGAATAATGAAATGAAATTCCGCCTTCTCCATTACGATGACCTTTAGACCTTTGATAAGAGTCGAGTGCTTTTCTAAAAGCTTCGCCTCGTTTAGCCATGAAATCTTGAGCCATCATACGACAATGTCCTGGATCATAGCGATCTTCATGATCTATTAATTCATCATCATCAACATCGTAAACCTTGTATTTTTGACGATTTGATGAAAAATCGAATCTTATCGGAATTTGTAATGATGACCTATTTTGATCCTTAACAACATTCGAAAAAGATGGCGTTTGAGATGTTTGCGTATTATCTTTGCTTCGTAGTTTGATAGCCTCATTATTGCCGTTCCAAACATTGTTATTAGGGGATAATAACATATCCATCGCAATTTCAAATTGTCCCTTACTAGTGACGAGAGCATTCCTAAGCCTTTCAAAATCGTGATCGGGAAACACGGTTACCAATTGACTCAGATTTTCATCAAACAAGTCATCTTGAAGGTTATTATTCCATTGATTCGTTGATTGTGTTGGTGAAGTCAAAGGTGATGGTGTGCCCCAACGTGAAGTAGAAGATGGCGACGACATTGATGATGCCGAGGTTGCAGGGCTACTTGAAGCCGAAGATACATTAGCGTAGGAACGAAATGTATTATTTTGAATTATGATGTTTCGTTTTGGTTTCCTGGGTCGCTTTTTTTTACGACGTTTAAAACGAGATTCCGAAATCAAGAAATTATCCTCGTCGTTAGGATCGTTCACAGTAACGGAAGATGGGGTTGAACTTGTTTGAAAGTATGAATTATCTTGCTCGTTAAGCAGCATATTCAAAACCGCTTCTACATTATCATCACTTTCTTGCAATAACGTATCGATAAATTCAGAAATCATAGGGAAACATGATTTCAAAAATTCGGTGGGCGAGTCGATTGTGTTATTTATTGCAGAGGATTCGAGATATTTAATTTCCTCATCTAAAGGAATGTAATCATCCGAACAAATACTTCCGGAATCTTCTCCTATAGAAAGGTAGTCTATCATATTTTCAACACTAGTCATTGATCCTTCCCCTAAAAAATGAGAAAGAATTAATAAGTTTTAAATAATTTATTACAATACAATAAAGCTTTTTTTTTATGCTTACCGGTTTCGCCACCATTAGAGCTTTTGTAGTTGCTACTACTGCTGTTTCCAGAATTCATTTCATTCTTGCTTCTTTCAGCATCCAATGCTAGCGTAGCGTCCAAAACTAAATTAGCCTCGTTGGCTAATTTCTCAAAGATATCACAACAATCTTTGAAGTTTTTAATATCATTGAAGATAGCTGCGACCAAAGCTGAGTCAAGAGGTGGACAGTACTTTTGCTATTATTTGAGATAAAAAAATTTATATACAAGAAACAGTTGGTTAGTAAGTTATTGCTTAAATTACTGATAAAGATACAAGTTTTTACCAGAAAAAACGACTTTATGCAAATATTCGAATTTCAAACATGGGACTTTGGGAATTCGTTTCTCCGCAATAAAAGATTTTGATGACTTTATAAAGTGATTCTACATTAGGAAAATAAATAACTCGTTGCAAAGATGTTTTTTTCGTAAAACATCTTTACGGTCTATGCTTTGGTTGAATCAGCCGAAAAAGTTCGAACCCGAAAACAATGACGAACTTATATACAAGGCCAATGCAAAAAATTTTTCCATTTTATTTACTTTCCGCACATCTCACCTCTAATACCCGTAAAGTATCCATTTATTGTCAAGGTTTTAAAAATGTTTTTTTTTAAAGTGGAAATTGTTTAATTAAATTCAAACCTACGCAATAATAGAAAATCAGCGCGTAAGGTTAAGTTTGGAGGGGGAACATTTCTGATAAACCTATGATTGGGAGTTTTATAGAGCATTACGAGGGTGTGTGTCACAAATAATCACAATAACAAATTTTTTAAATAATCAGGAAAGGTTGTCGTTGTCATTTATGATTCACAAATGAAATTACGATAAAGGCTTATGATAATGATATTACGTAGTAAAGTTTTAATATGACTCAAATAAGAAACGCGCAAATCGATCTTAAACTAACGAATGCAAATATATTAGCCTCAATACACTTTTTTTTTTTTTTTGGTCAAAATTTAAATTTAAATTTAAGCGAAACATTGATCCAAGAAAAATTTCTAGTTGGAAGGTATTAATTAAATATTCTGAGTTAATCGGACAAAATTTGTGTTATAGGATTTCTTTTTTTTCCCCAATAAATTCAAGATTGAGCGTTATACTTTAGAAAAATCAAATAAATCAACGATTTCTTGGTTTTTGGGAATGGGCATTTTATATATATAAATGGTTCTTTAGGGCTATTCTTGACTTCTATTCACCATCCTCGCTTCTTTCATTTGTCTTTCTTCTTCGGAGACAATAATGTCAATTTCTCGAAATGGTAAAATGCCGTCTTTTATTGCTAGCATACATGAATATATGCTTCCATTATTTTATGTAATAATTGAATTAATGAATTCCCTAAAGTTGAGACATAATTTAAACTTGTGGCGGAGATTAATTTTAAGAGCAAATCGCCTAGAGTTTGCACATAAGTAGTTTTTCCGGTTACCTACCAGAGCATTAGGAGGAACCAAACCATAAAATGACATTAATTAGAAAATAAACTAGTAAAACAGAGCAAAAACAAATGGCTTTTTATCTGATAACAATATATCATATCAAAACAAAAATTAATAGGTTTACTATAATTTTAATTTCATCATTTTGCCCGCCACTCTAAACACATTAGAGTTATTACCAATCTTGGTAACGTTACTCAAAACATAACATTTTCCCAATTAGTAAATATCTATAAATAATCGTATTGCTTAAATAAGTAAAAAGATCTTTCAGATATATTTAGCGAAAGTCTTGACAGAAAGTAAGTATTCTTTTGAAAGAGAAGAGAAAAATTTGGTAAATCATAATAATATAAAATAAAATAAAATAAAATAGAATAAAACGATTTTCACGATCATTCTTTTTATCATCATTATAATCCTTTTAAAATATTTGCGTATGAAAAATTTACTACTTATTATTCATTTTCGTTATTTTCAATCAACTCATATCTATTCTTTCTCATTTATAAAAATGATAGAAAAGGATAAGGAAAGTTTATTCAAACACCTGTCATGACCATTGTCATGTCTCATTTTATAAATTTTATCAATTTCAAACTATGAAAACAGCGATTTCGGAAAGTAAAAATTTGTGTAACAGCAAGTTCAAAACAACCGATCAGCATAAGTATTTATTAACTATACATGATTATCATGATTATCTTGTGAAATTATTCAACATGACTAAAGTTAAAGGTAATACTCAAGAATTGAGCGAAACATCAAAGAAAGCCGACAAACCCGAGAAAAAGGAAAGATGCTCTTATTCGGTTGACCAAAAACAAATAGTAGTAGAATATGCTCTTAAACATGGTAGAAATGTTGCTGCGAGACTTTATAAAATAGACAAGTCCATGGTTGGACGTTGGGTTAAGGCTAGTAAAAAATGGAATGCGGAACCTGCAAAAGTTAATTGGAATTCTTTACGAGTTGGTTCAGGACAAAAACCTTTATATGAGGAAGCAGAAAATAAGTTACATCAATGGGTTTCTGATCAACATAAACTGGGTGCCGAGATTACCAACTCAAATGTCAGAAATAGAATGTATCAAATATTAAAGCAACCAGATATGAAGGTTTTATATCCTGACGCGGAAAATGATTTTAAAGCTAGTTCGCGTTGGTTAGCAGGTTTTTTGTCTCGCAAAAAACTAACTGTACAACGTGATCGACCAGTCTTTAAGAAAAGACCTGTATGTGACGTGGTATTAAGAGAATATCGTCAAGATATTAAACGTCTTCGAAAGGATATAGAATATGAATTTCAAAATCTTTTTAACATGGATGAACTACCCGCGTGGTTCGACGAAAAAGATAATCTTAGAGTCAATCTGAGACGCGAAAAGACGATGAAAATTCCTGATACGCGTTTTAAATTTACAATCATATTAACTTGCGTTGCAGGTATTTCTATTTAAAAAATATATATTTTATATTTTCACAATTATAATTAAACATTCACGCGAATTTTATTATCTTATGACTTATTTCAGATGGAACCAAACATCCACCTATTTGCGTATTTAAAGGGAAAGAGTTGCCATCCGGTGAGAAAGTTCCTGAAGGTGTTATCGTTTGGTTTCACGAAGATGGAATCGTGTCTCAAGAGTTAATGTCTGATTATATCGATATGTTGCACGTTATTAGAGTGATGAATAACCAGTCTAGCCAACCTGCCATCATGGTTCATGATGGATCAATGAACTCCGAAGGAGCGATCTCTCAGAAATTTGCTTCTCATAATATTAATTTGGCCGTTATTCCAGATGGAACGATATTAAGTGTTTTGCAACCGATGGATGTAATTAATAAAGTTTTCAAAGATAACCTTCTGAAAGAATGGGATAAATGGAATGCGATTACTGGAATTGATCGTAGAGCTACAATAACTGAGATTTGTGGATGGGTGAAGAATGCATGGGAAGGAATCCTTAAAGAAATTATCTCTAATTCTTTCAAAAAATGTCGCATTTCAAATGCGTTGGATGGATCTGAAGACAAAGCGAAATTTCCAATCGTAGACAATATTATTAAAGAGATTAAAGCGGATGATGCGATGCAACGATTATCTCGATCTCAAAATGAAGAATTTAATAATGAATATATGGTTGAGTCTGAAGTGGAAGATGAAGGGAATCAGATTGAGAAAATTAATGAAAAGACGAACGAAGAACCAGTAACCGAAATTCATGAAATTTTTGATAAATATATGTTTACTGAGGCCGATCCTTTAGTAGCATCTTCATCGTTTATTCCATCAACGATGCATCCAGATCATACACAAAATCACGTGCAACCTAGTATTTTACGATTCAACACATATTAAAGTCCTCACAATTAATTCGGTTCGTAATAAAGATTTTTTTTTTTGATAAATCATTAGATGTAATATATATATATTTCTTTCTTTCTTTTAGCTTGTGTAGGATTAATTAGAACTTAAAAGTATTCGGATTTCAAGGCGCGTTATCACGACATTTAAAATCGATATTTTACCTTTCATGGTTTGTTTCACAAAGAGGACTTTTTAATTAAAAGACTCGATATAGGAAAATATTTTTACAAATAGTTAAAAAGTTCATCCAATGTTCGACAGTATTATAATAGGAAAGTTTTCTTAGTAATAGTTGGAGCCATCGAATATGTACGTAGAATTCATAAATATCCCGGACATTGAGAGTAAAATAAATATTGATACACATTGTTGCATTTGCATTGAATAATACACTGATCATTTTATGGAATGGGAAATGAAAATTTATTGATCCATTAAATTAAATTCAGTAATATAAATTTAAAAAATTTAACGTCCGAGACAAAAAAATAAAATTTTATCCGATGTATAAATTATACTAAAAATAAATAAAATAAAATTCAAAATAATCTTAATTATTTGTATCAATCAAACCAGCTTTCTTAAAGTGAACATCTAACAAATTATTATAGCGTTCAAATTGTTCACCAGGTAGCGCGTGACCAGATCCTATGAAAAAAGTGATTAAAAAACGTCTAAATGCTAATAATATGATCAAGTTTTAAAATGTAATTGCTACCTTCCCAATATTCAAAATCAGCGCTTAACTGCTCTGCTAAGTAATAACTATTCTCTGGACGAATTAAATTATCCCAAGATCCTGTTACAATCAAAATCTGAAATGAAAATGATCAGATTAGAGTTTTTATTTTATTTTAAAAAGGTGAAAAAAAAAAAAGAAAATTACTTGTGGGATATGATGTTTAATACGACGAAGACGATCAGAAGAACAATAATGACGAAGACAAGCAGCTACTTGACCAATTGCACCTAATAAACATAATAATCATTATAATAAAGATATTTTTATTTTTATATTTATTATAAAAAGAATTATAATAATTACCGTTAACTGGTTGGATTCCACGTCTAGTAATTCTTTCAAGGAGTTTCTATTTAAATTTATAAAGTGTCAAATTGGGTGACTTGAACGAATATATTTCAATGATATTCAACTAAAAATTATTTACTTCTAACATATGTTTCTCATTCGTGGGATGAGGCGAACCTAAAGGGGCGGGAGCTTCTAACCATTCCTAAATGGATAACGCGAAAGATTAACATTTATTATCACGTGATTATTCAAGCATGGTCCACTTACTTTGGGATAAATTAATCTTACAACAATTTCAACTTTCTCAAGAGGATTCCTAATAAACATTAATTTGCTTATAGTAGTAACAGCTAGCATCTACAATATTATAATAAAAAGGGGAAAAAGGAAAAGAAGTCAATATTTCAAGATTCATTTTTTATTTCTTTGGAAACCTTCTTACCGGAGGTAATGACATTCCTGGTGTGGTAGAAGTTAAACAAAGCGACTTAAAGCATTGCGGTTTTGCCAACACCAATTCTTGCGCGATCATGCCACCCATTGAAACACCAATTAAGTGGACATTGTTCGTCCATCCTATATGTTCACACAAATCAATTACATCATGAGCCATTTGACTTGTACTGGATATAATAATATTACGCAAAGAAAAATGAGTGTAACGTTAACTTTACGTGGTATCTTAAATTATGACGTATAGGAAGGTTACCTGTATAATCCCGGTGGTGCATCTATAATGTTCGGTTAAATAAATAAGCTCGAAAGATGCGAATTCGATTAAGTTTAACATTATATATATACCTGAATAACCAACACCACGATTATCAAAGACGCATACTTGATAATCAGGATGACTTCCGAAATGTCTGATCTAATAAAATAGAAAAAGATTAGACAAATCAAAAAACGTTTCTTCAAAATTTCTGAGATAATTACCTGATATTCCCAACCTTCCGAAGTAAGATTTAATCCTAATAAAGTATAATCACATGATTTAGTTTCGTCAGATTTAATCTAATTCTTATATTTATTGCATACCCATGATGAAAAGAAGTTTATTTGGACCGTCTCCGTGAATTTCATAATAAATTTTAACTTTTGTATTATCTTTTCGAAAGTTTTTACCAACTTCACAATATCCACTTTCTGCCAATGTCGATGTGTGTGTATGTCTACTATTATTTTTATTATTATTATCATAAGCTGGTTTGATTGTAACCGAAGAAATGATATTATTAGTCATTATTGATTTGATTGATTTGATCAAAAAAAACCCGGTAAAAAAAATATCCAAAAGAAAAGAAAAAGGCTTTTTTTATATATCTTTATACAATTTTGTGTTACCCAGCGAGAGATTGGCTAAAATTAATTTTTATAAGAAATTAACATAAGGAAAAGATCATCCATTTTGTTCTTTAACCTTGCTGAATTCTGAAAACTTTTAATAAAAGTCGAAAGTTTATTAAGTTTTATTGTCTTTAAAGGTTACAAACCAAACATACTAAAGTTACTTAATATGTAGATATTGTTCAAGTTTCTCTTAATAAAACTTGGTGGAACTGGATCTAACTGGATCTTATTTGAAAAAGTCAATTAAATGAATAAGGTATTAGGTTGGTTGTTTATGTAATATAATGTAACCACCTATAGTGTAAAATCATGCATGTGAGCATCAGTAAATAATTTTTCCGTAATTTATCCATTTATAGAAATATAATACTTCTATATTAGTTCACATGTTCACATGTTGCTAGTCCATAATAATCGGTGCTAAATGGATAAAATTCGTCACTAAAAAAGATCCCATATTCTGAATTTCAAACTTTTCAGTATAATGAATAATAAAACTAAAAGTCCTCAAACTAAAGAAGAAGTTGAAAAACTTTTGGAAAATGATCAACGGATAAAAGTAGCCGGTAAATAACTTCTTTACGTGAATTATGAAGTCTCTTTAACATTAACGCGTTATAATTACTGAATTGTTTATAATAGGTGTGGATGTTGATGGAATTCTTCGTGGAAAAGTTATTCAAAAGAGTAAATTTTTGTCCATCTTAGAGGATGGATTTGGTATGTAATTATGATAATTTAACAAATCTTTTCATTATTGGAATTCCTATTTGACAATGTTTTCGTATAGGGTTTTGTAGTGTAATTTTCGGATGGGATATGCATGATAAGACGTACTCTGAAGAGCTCGAGGTATCAAACCAAGAGAATGGTACAAATTAAATCTTTGAACTCTAGGAAAGTTTCATGTTAATTGACATTGATTTGATTCAGATTTTCTATATTAAATTGTAAGGTTACGCTGACATAATTGCCAAAGTCGACATATCCACTTACCGTCGTATACCATGGGAGAATAATATCCCATTTTTCTTGTTATCTTTTTATGATCCCGTGACAAAAGAACCACTTTACGTATGTCCAAGGGGTCTTTTGAAAAACATAATAACTAAATACGACGCATTAGGTATCATTTTATTTATTTTATGAGGCTTGATTTATGAATTTAATAATATATAATTGCTAATTTTATAATGTTTAGGTTTAAAACCGATGTGTGGCGTTGAATTCGAGTTCTTCAATTTCAATGGTATGAAGCAATCTTTTTTTTTAATATTATTATTACATCATTCAACATTGATTAACAACGCGGGAATAATATTTTTTCGTATTCCAAAAGAAACTCCCGAGACAATAGCAGCCAAACAGCATCATTTACCTGAACCTTTAACACAGGGAATGTTTGGTTATTGTAAGTTGCAGTTGCCTGATCAATGACTTATTAGTTTATTGTAGTTTTTTATTTTTATTATTATTATTATTTATATGTTTATTTTAGCTTTAATTCGACCAACATCGAATCAAAACTACTTTTATGATTTATTTGATAAAATGAAAGAATTCGGCGTGGATTTAGAAGGATTACATACGGAAACAGGTTTGTGACGCGTATAGGTAGTAGTCATGTGATACCCAACCTAATAATTTATATCTATAGGTCCCGGCGTGTATGAAGCTGCGCTTTCATATTCACAGGCAATGGATATGGCAGATTCAGCTACATTATTTAAGTTGGCCACAAAACAAATCGGTATCCTTAGAGGGGTTATGCCATGTTTTATGGCTAAACCACATAATGATCTACCAGGTTGTTCAGGACATGTGCATTTTTCACTTAAATATAAGAACACAGAAGAAAATGCTTTTGCCAAAAAATATAGTGAAGTCGATGACTTAGTGGAAAATGGATCCAATTTATCAGATAAAGAATGGAAAGATACCAAAGCTATGAGTGATCTTATGAAACAATTTTTGGCAGGTATTCTCGTCGGATTACCAAGCATTATGCCATTACTAGCTCCAAATGTTAATAGTTACAAGAGGTTGGTGGAAAATTATTGGGCACCTGTAAGCGTTTCATGGGGTCTCGAAAATCGAACCGCAGCTATAAGAATAATTTCACCGCCTACGTCATCAGCTTCAGCAACTAGGATAGAGTTGAGAGTACCAGGAGCTGATATTAACCCATATTTTACAATTGCTGCTACATTAGCTTGTGGATTATATGGTATTGAAAATAAGTTGCCTGTACCAATTCCACCTTTGTCATATATTAATAATAAAGTAGGCATTTCACAAGAGGATAAGATGAATTTATTTGCCCAAAATCAATTATCCAAAAGTTTAAAGGAAGCTACCCTGGTAATGATGGCCAAAGATTCTATAGCTAGAAAAGTGTTAGGTGATAAGTTTATTGATCATTTTGGTAAAAGTAGATTACATGAATGGAAATTGTGGGAAACAACTGTTACTAATTGGGAAACCAAGCGTTATTTTGAAACCGTTTAATTACATTCTTTTCATAAAATTATTAGGTAATAAGGGTTAACAGTAAACGGAAGATTCATATTATAATTTTTTTTTGATGTTATTTATAAATAATAATTAATAAATATAAGTTTAAACACGTCCTCACTCGTGATAATTAAATCCCTAGTATTCTATCAATTATCTTGTGACTTCGGAATATAATTACGATCATTGGGACAAGGTTATTTCTGTGATGGTAATTTTTTTTTCTTTTTTTTTTTTTAAAAAAAAAATCCACGTTTATTTTTGTTTATTTACCGTTCTTCTAATTTCCATTTTGTTTCCTACAAATCATTTAGGACGTTAAATAAATTTAGTGTGTAATATGCGTAAGTAAAATTTTCACTTGAATTACGGGGATACATTTGAAAAGAAGGAAATACTTCATTCTTGTGTGAAGCAAACATTATTTCATATCTGGCGGTTTTTCAAGGACGTATTGTATATCCACATGTCTTTGAGCATTATCATCATCTTCAAATGTTAATAAATAAGTTCGTTGTGATGATTGTGATAATCTATTCGGTGACAGTACAACAGCCGCTTTGTAGAAACACGTTGTACCGGGATATAATGCAAGTACCGTCGTACTTTGTGTAAATTCCTGTGATGAACGAATATCAGCAGGTTTTGGAATCGCCATTACATTTTTAGCTGGAACGACGAATCGTCTAATGGAAAATATTAAATTAAAACAATGATAAAAATATATATGTATATATTTTATGGTTATATGACAACACTTACTCTCCAGGGCGATTTGATGATTCATCCCTATCAGCATCTTCAACTTCATACCTATAAAATTACAATGAAAAATAATAAGGTAATAATAACTCAAACGCGTCAACATTTCTAATGTATGCGAATTTATATATGCTTACTGCCTTAACTCTTGTTTATAACTGACAACGGTTGCCAAAATCCAATTTTCTTCGACATCTTTATTCTTGGGCTGTTTGGCTGCAACCTAATATTAAGTTTTTTTTATATCGGATTTAATTACTTATTTTAACAAAAATTGGTAATGATTTATAATAAATTCAATTACTTACTAAACTTCCGGATTTAATTATATTGCTGCCACTTTTATTATAACATTAATTAATAAATAAATATATATATATTTTTATATTTATTTATTACACAAGCAAGACAGAAAAATAAAAATGACTTAGAATCAATAAATACTTTTTGTGTTTCTTGATTTTAGAGCTTCCAACTGATTCTTCACGCTGCCTTTTTCTTTTACTGTTAACATCGTCTACCATTGTTGCTAATAGTATAAACATGATAATTATGATTTCTCGTGACAAACTCATGATCTATAAAATATTACATACTTTGCGGAGTTTGATGGTCTTTGATCATGGAATATCGTGCCGTTAATTTGTCGATATCCTTTATTATGGTTCTACATATTCTTAATAATTAAAAAATCGAAGATTTAAATATAAACGGTTACTATATATATATAATGTGTATGTATAAAATAAATCAACTTCATATCTTACTCTTCTTCACGGATTGCTTGGTCAATCCCTTTCTTACAAAATTCTCGTAACTTATCGGAGTTACCTAAATGATTTGATTTTAAAAAAAGGTTCAATTTTTTGCTTATCAAAAATTTACGTAAAGTTCAACCAAAAAATTTCTATAGGATATCTGATCGCACTAATATGGTGTTCAAGACCATCAATAGTTGATTATCAGTCATTTTAAATTATTCATTTCGTGCTAACACTATCGTTATTGTATTGAGAAACTTTATAGTTCCATTTACTTGGTTGAATTTCCTTAATCCATTCATTAGTCGTCGTTATGATATGAACTCCTTCTTCTTGTATCTTCTCTAGTTTCGTAAGATTAGCATTAATTATTACTTTCAATCTCTCCTCTTCGTCCGAAACGGAACTTCTTCTCGAATCCATTTTTTTGTTATTAGTTATATCCATAACTCCTCGTGTTGAGAATTGCAGGAGGCTCTATAATTAATGTGCTAATTTTTAGTTATGATGATCTACGTCAGGAAATCCTAATAAGGTTATTAGTTGTATAAACTCTAAATATACAGTATATAGTATAATAAAGTATAGTATTATAAAGAGTTGAAAATAAAAAAAAATTGGTATATTAAGGAAAATAATTATAATTTTTTTTTTTAAAAAAATATATTTTTAAACAAATAATTTTATTATAATAAAAAGAATTATCCTTAATTTTACATATGGAAACTTTGTAGTAGAAAGGAAGAAAACTCTAATTAAATTATTATTTTACTTTATAAACTAAATATGATTTTTTAGTTAAATAAGTCCAGATTTAATATTATCTTAAAAATTATTTTTTAAAATTTTCTTCTTTTCTACTGCAAAGCTTTCAAATGAGCTTTGTATTAAAAAGATATAAACTTTAAAAAAAAATTTTTTTTGAATTAATGTTAAATCTCAACTTATTTTTTAAAAAAATCATATTTAGTTTATAAAGTAAAATAATAATTTTTTTATAGTTTTATACCTTTCTACTATATTACATTTATTTATAAATAATGTTAAAATAAAAACCAAAAGTTGAAATAAAAATCAAAATAATCAAAATGATATTATATCATATAATTATTTATATTGAAAAAACTTAAAATAAAAAATAAATAATCTTATTAATATCATATGGAAGGTTTGCTAGAAAAATAAGGCTTTGAGTATTTTTTATTAAAATTTTAATTTTTATTACATTTTAGTCTGTTTAATATTATCAAAAATTAAATTGTAATAAGAATTAAAATTTTAATAAAAAATGCTCAGAGTTCCATTTTCCTAGCAAACCTCATATAATAATTATTATTAATTTTTTACAACTAGATAAATCTAAAGTGCTAATATTTATTGATTTTAAATCTGCTAATCTCAAAATAATTATAATTGAATTTTAATCCTTTATTTTAAGTATAATTTATTAATTATAATTTTAATTGATAATTAAATTATGATTTTTTTAAGGTTGACTGATCTAAAATCAATAAATTTAGCTTTTTAGATCTATTTAATTATAAAAAATTGAATGGATTTTTTATATTATACTTTAATTAGAATATAATACAATAAGGTGATAAAATACTGACCAAATAATTAAGTATATTAGATATTCAGATATACTATTAAATAAATAGACCAAGCAAGTCCTGAACTAAGCCTATAAATATAAACAAGTTTACTATATTAATAAATATCAAGAGAATCAAATCTAATCTCTAATTCTAGTATATAACTTAAATATTATAATAATTAAAGATAATGCAAGATCAACAAATTATAAATATAACTATTTGTTCTTTTAAGACATTATAATTATACATGAAGTCAAAATGAAAACCCAAAAGTCGAAATGTTTCGACTTTAGAGATCAAAGTCGAAATGAAAAGTCGAAATGGTCGAAATTACGTCATATCACATGATTTTTTATATATAGAAAAAAC